CACATTGCTCCCACTGTGAGTGACTGCACGCACACACACACACACACACACACACACACACACACACACACACACAAATACACACAGACATCATTTAAACGCACATGTGTGTGCTTGTGCATTCTGGGTATAGTGGCAGACTTGATGGATTAGGATTAGAACTCCAACTGAGCAATTTAAGCGGTGCGTTTGTGTGCGTTTGTGTGTGTGTGTTTGGAACGTGATGACACACACACTCGCACACACACGGAGGCCTAAGTGAGTCACAGAAGCTGCGCGCCCTGCAGGGGCCACCTGAGCAGATTGAGAGACAAAATGAAAGAAGTTGATCGAGACAAAAGTAGAGAGTAAGTAAGGGGACCCCAGGGAAGAAAAGAGGCTTTTGTCTAAAGGAGTATGAACAGTGATTGAAAATCATCGTGTTGGAGGGAAGAACGGATGGAGTAGAGGCAGAGGAGAGGAAGATAAAGAGCTGGGGGATAGAACCCCAGCCAAAATAACAACAGAAAGCAAACAAGGTGAAGCAATATTATTTGCTTTTGCTGGGAACTTGTATCCAAATGTGTGAGTCAGATTGATATGATTACATAGCAGCTCCATCAGGTAAAACCTGCCATTAAGAAAAAAAACAGGGCACTAGAAATTCTATATTTTATCTGCAAAAAAAAAGAAACGAATATTCTGAAATGAAAAGAATTCAACCCTATTGCTTTAATGCACAAGAAGTTGTGCACCATCATCCATACAAATGATGCAAAATGTCTCAGATTTAAAACATTTCAGAAACCTATTCTTTACATTTCATAATTCATATTCCTAAATACTTAATTTAATCTTTAACTGGTATCATGCAAATTGTAGATTCAGAATAATTATGAATATTATTATTTAATATTTATTCATATTTAACTGCTACCCTGAGGCTTGAGAGAAGAGACTTGTAACCAGTATTTGTTCTTTGATTTTTTGGGAAGAGTGTTGTATCATCAGTGAATTCACTTGAATTAATATTTAATATAATCAATTTAACACAGAGATCATATCAAGAAATCTACACCCAAAGCCAAATGATCTCAGCCTGTAAATAATATCATGATTTCTGTTATTTGTCTTCCGTCCCACTCGATGGACGACATCTATCTCTTCATTCATTTCATTGGTCCTCCAGCCTGTACTGGGAAAAATCTACAAAACCTCTTGACCAGCAGGGTCT